AAGGAAGATAATTAAAAAATGTATACAAAATTTCAAAGCTCCATCTTTAAATATGGCGCAGTTGAAAATTTTTAAATATAATACCTGACTATTTTTACATAAAAATGCAAATATGTTGAAAACCATCAATCAAAATAGTCTTGTGTCTCACATCATGTTCTTCTTTTTTTTTAATAAGAAGTAAATTTACGTCGGAAATAATGTAACTACTGTGTGTAATTTTCATATGAAGCGTTTTTTTTTTCCTTGAAAAGAACTTTCGGTTGAAGCACTAACTGAGTTCTATTAGAAGTCAAAGATATGGTTTTTTTTTTCAATATTTAGTTACATATTGCCTTGCATCTAGCATAACTCAATAACGTTTTAGTTTCAAAGCTTTTAATCTTTAATCTTCTGAGCAGCATTTTTTTTTCTTTTATTTTTTGTTGTATTTCGGACCACATGTTGTAGTGTTGAAATTCTATGTGTAAAAGAAATAACATAATTATTTCTAAAATATTTTAATGATGATCTGTATTTGTTCTAACTGGAATTTTATATAGAAGATCATCAGACAGAATCTTTGTTTAGTACTTAACAGTTCGGGATATGTAAGCACTCTGCTGATCGTTTTCCGTCAGAGACCGGGTTAAAGAACACTACAGTGGATTATTCGAAAACTTACGATTAACTCTAGTTAATTCTAACTATTACTTTCTAATTGTTTCTTTCAGTTTACCATCAATTGTAAGTATTTTCAGAAGTTTTGAACGTTGGACAATTTTTGATATACCTATTACTGTAATGTGACAATATCTTGACCATTGTCCAGTTTTCTTCTCTACCTAAATAAAAGTTAAACGCAATTTATTGTCGGTGGGACGTGGTCCCATTTTTATAAACAACAAATGAACAAAAAAAGGATAAATACAATATTTTTAATGGCATCAGTTAGTGATGATTTGATTAAAAAAATGTGGATATATTCTACTAATACAATTTTTGTGGATAAATTAATAACAATTACTCTCGTTATGGAATACTTTTTTAACAAAATATTAATTTTTTTACAAAACAAAATAAATTATACGACTGCATTTTTTAGCTCTTCTGTTTTCAACAACTTTGAAAGCTATCGATTTTCCGCGACTGTATACATTGGAAAACTGTTAAATAAAAAAGTAAATTTTAATGATTAAAAATTCAATTTATTATTTTAAGAGGGAAATTTTATCCCAAAGCAAAGTAGGTACAAAAGCATACAGAAATGATGTTTTTTTGGGTAATGGTATATTCTAATTTAATTTTCTTTATCAACAAGCAGCAGCATCACGGATCCTGAATACACGTAACATTCGCAACTGACGGACCAAATCAACGTAATACAAGCAAATTACTACCTGGACCCTATTTATTCTCCAATTAATTACTTAGTCCGAGATTTTGTTAGATATATACAACGCATTACTACGGTTTGTAATTGTTTAATTTCACTCAATTCTGTTTACGTAGCCTATTTTATTTGAGTTTGTTATCATTGTTCCCGAACAGCGACCGTAGATGAGTCGCAAACATTGACTTAGGCACCTTATAATAAAGTGGCAGTCAACCTCATTATCTTATTGGGCATAAGATACATAAGATATCGTCCAACAAACAAAGGAAATTGTATATTTATTGTTGATATTTCTCTTTCCAACAAAGTTCAGACCGCCGGAACTAAGAAAACATTCCATGCAAATATTCTGTTTAGCTAAGAGAACTTTCCAGAATAAATACTTCTTTTCACATTTCCGTGAAGAGATTGTTTGTGTTTTGAGATTACACTATAACAGTAATAAACAAATTTACATTGTTAGTTGTACTTGCCACGAACTAATTTATAAGATCCTTCCCCGTGTTTGCTATGCACTTATAAGCTCATCAACCCCAAGGAACACGTTAACATTTGCCTCAGAGAAAATTACGCCCTATGTATGACATCGTTTAGGGTCGCTGGAGGGTGTGCAACTACAACCTTTCTAGACCCTACGAGGTCATAAGAGCTCAACAAACACGTCTTGTTTTGGCCGTTTGTTATTACATGCAACTTTAAGTGGTCTGGTGGTATGTTTACTCATTCCACAGACAAAGTCGGAAGCTAAGTTATGTTTAGGACATCATTCTAACGCAACTGATAATTGTTCCAAACTAGTGTCTTCCGTTATACGGTCCTAGGTTAGTTACGATTGCGAGTCTCATAATTTCTCTGATTATTATTATTATAATAAGATCAACATACAATGTATTAGTAATTTCGAGCTGGTCACAGTGTTAAAAACAGTCTGCATTCGCTTCAAAATTTACAGTAAAACTAGTAATCTCTACATCATTTAGCGTTAGGGCGTCACTTTTAATTTTGTGTTTCATGTCTGGTACAGGATCTTAGTAAAAATTTTCTCATTGGATTTACCCGCCGAATATAATATCAAGACCTGGTTTACAGAAGCACTTAAGCACGCCATTAACTTAATCGATCACGTGATCAAATTCTATCAAATTCTCAGATTCACGAGTTAAACACACATATTTAATTCACGTGCTATAAAGCGGCTGATGGTCTTTTTTCTCAAAAGATGTATGGTTCAAGCTCACTCAATTATTATTATAAATTTTGGCCAAAAAACTGTAAATTTAAGTAAGAGTGAACGTACGAACAAGTTTCTTACGATCTCTGCTTTAATAAAAAATAACTAATTCTCACAAAGCCTACCCACTCTCCTTTCTTTCAATTTTTTTTTTCTTAATTATAAAAATATAATGGCCATCTCCGCTTTGTTAACAATTTGATGCTTTCATCGTAAAGAAACTTGCAGATATTTTTCATTAAACCTAACGAGTTTGTATCGCACGAAATTTTGTCTATAAAATCATTGTGTAGCAGGATTGTTCGCGGAACACTATACGACATAATACCGTGCGTTCGTTAATTATTTAGATCAGTGAAGGCTGTGGACGTTATATTGACAGATTCTGAATGTTTTTGATACATTCAGCCGCGTTGGTGTTTGGAACGTCAAACTTTCGAATTTTTTGAAAATAAAAGTGCCAAATGGTTTTCTCTGTGGAACATAAAACATTCATGATTGAGTCCTACTTCCGAAATGGAGTTGCCATTGAAGGCGAATGGCACTACAACAGTGGTGCTGTTTTACAAGAATTCCAACAAAAATTTCAAGCAAGAGCTAACCTTCGTTTGTAAATTGATTTATGTCAGGTCGCAACCAATATTACACATGTGTCTGTTTAATTGCATAATCTGAAAAGTATCCGAAACCGAGAAGACGTTTAAAATCGCATAGCATTCTTAGATCTAAATAATTAAGGAACACACGATATTTGTATTATTTAAGTAATCGTGTGTCCCGTATAAATGAAAAATCTGGCATGACTTACATTGTGTGTTATTTCCGTAAGTGTTTAAATTACTCACATACTTATTTTATAAAAATATGGAACCAGCATTATTGATCGATATTTGGCTGTGGGTTGTGGGATTAAAAACTGTAAAAAAAGATCCTGGATATTTCTCCACCGAGAACAAAAACGCTTAACTAAAAACCAGACGTACGCACTTCACAAGTCACATAAACTAAAAAACCAACAAATTACAGGCTCTCGAAATCAAAATTGCAACATTTCTTAAAAAATGTGTGGGAAAGTTGTATAAAAAAAAAAAAATTGTCGACTCGTTTCGCCAACCACGTTGGCGAAACGCGTCTACAAAATTTTTTCACTACCTTAACTTTCAATTAAAAACGTTTTATCAAAATACATATTTCACGTTTTGTCTGTGTTACACGTGTTTTAATTTGACTGCTTTTTATTAAAAATTTGTTGTATGTGTTCATATACCTAGTCTCTAGACAACCCATTTATCATTAGGCAAAGGTATAAAACACATTTAGTAATCTAAATACTGAAACCTAACTGAATTACACCCAGAAAATATTAGCATATAAATACATAAAAGGAATTACACATCTACAACAATGCATGTTACACGTAAAACAATTTGGTATCCAATTTGAAAACTTTTAGCCTTTAGCATCAAAACCGTAATTTCGCAATATTTCTTTAAAGAGTTGTTTGGTAGTCTTATTTTACACGTATTTGAAAGGAGCAACAAGCACAACGCTAGAGGTATGAGATTTTATATTCCCCGTTTGCCTTTACCACTTAAAATAGTGTTGATCTTATGATAAGCAGCAAATAAAACTTCTAGAAATGAAAATAACAAGTCTGAAAAACTATTTGAAACAATAAAACATTTTATCAATTTGTAACTCAAGAAGCTAGCTTCGTTTACCCAGAATTCGTTCCCCTTTTGCACTAGATTATTGGACAGTTCTAACCAACTTGTATCCCCTTTTTAAATAAGGCAACCAAATAGGTACTTATTTTCAAATTTATAGAGTAAGCAACTTCTACCTATAAATTGTGAACATTTGTGGTTTGTTTTTCAGAATTTAAACCACGTGTGGATTCAACACAAAAAGTTATATAAAACTAAGAAAGTTTCAACATTATGCAGAAAAAAGCACTGCTTCTGAGCTCCGTATTTTAGATTTGGTCATTAAATTAGATTTAATATGAAGTTATACCGGTTTTAAGCTCTTCAGATTTATTGCCATGCATAATAATGCTAGCTACGCGTCAGTACAGAAATATAAAATAAAGTTTTTACGGACCATTACCAAATTTTATGAAAAATAACAAAACTAAATAGCAAAACGCTATATTTCCCGTTCGTTAATTTATTAAATATATAAAACAATAAAAAAGTTATTGCTTTGATTCAAATCTAAAAAAACTTGCATCTGGTTGCTATAAAAATCTCATAAATCAAAAACTATAATCTAGAACCTGCCACTTGATTAGGTTTATTTATTTAGAAATAACTCTTGCCGATGGAGACATTTCCAGTCACGCGAGAGTTCTTTTTTACATTTGTGGAAGTTTAATTTACTTGCTTTTTTCAGGTGGTGTGGAGACTTATTCCAACGAGGGGTTTCTAAACGGCAACGTCAGCACTTACCCCTTCTTCGAATTCAATGTACCCCGAAATGTCACCACCGCAGTTGGCCAGACTGCCTTTCTGCATTGTAGGGTAGAACAGCTAGGAGACAAAGCCGTAAGTTAGATAAATACGACGCTCTGGCGATATAAATCTTTTTTTGTCCCCAATTGGGTCGCTTAATCGCGCATTACACGTTGAGATTTTAATAAACTCACATCACAATAATACATGGGCACATTAGAAGGGATATATTTCAAAACTGTGAACGAAGCTAGGATAGCGTAATTTCCGTAGTTCTGCATTGACGAATGATTACGTAGCTAGAAATGCGGCCATGAGAGATGTTACTTGTGACAGAAACAAATTGCTCTGCGTTAGTGTAGAATACAGTCTCGTCTACTATAACTCATTTTGTCAATTAATTCTTTTAATTTTTTGTTACCACTATCAGTGTTCATGTCCAGCTGTCCGCCTGCGGTCAGCATGGTTACTTAAGTTTTGATGGATAAATCCATACTTGTTCTATTATCTGTACCTAGATAACTTTTAAAATATGGATTTTTTTGTCGGTTTTCGAAATTTTTTTCGGTTTTTATTTACCGGCGTTTGATCCAGATTTCATCTTAGGTTTTTTTTTTGTAACACAGTTGGATAAGTCGAAGGCGTCACTTAAACCATACAATATGTTTTTAATTCATTTATAATCGACATCAACAATGCTGACATAATGTTTTAAAAAAAATGTGGATTGTGATTTTTTTTTTATAAAAAAGCTTTTGGTAGCATCACCACCTTTTTAAGTATGAGTAAAGTTTTATCTTACCTCTCTAAATATTACAACGTATTTAAATTTATTTTATGCATGTAGTAGAAACTTACGAAGTTCCTAACAACTAAAGTGATTCGCTGCAGTTGGAACAACTCATCTAAAAGCAGCGCTGGTTGGTTCAATACTTTATTTATTTCTAGTAAAGCAGAAAATAAACAAAAACTGTTCTAATTAAAAATGTCTAAGCTTTGCAGTAATTATCTTTCTTGTCACAAGGCCGTGGTCAATGCTTATGAAAAAAGTAACGACACGTATTGTATTGGTTAATTTTGACAATGGATCCGTCTTGTATTCCGATTGTGGGTATTTATATACTAACAATAATGCATATTTGTGAAGTTGTCAATTTGTGAATTAGGTCAGCAATTTTTTATATATTTTTTTTTTTTCAAATTTCTGTAACCCTTAGAGTGTTACCAACTACTGAAGTATTGAATTTTCCCACATTTATATAGTTTTAACACATTTAAGAAAAGAATGTTGTGAGCTGTGTGGGTCGAAGGTTATTTCCCGCAGCCCCTGCTCCGTGGGAGCGCAAATTCCCAAGTACGGACAACGTAAAATATATTTAAAGCAGATAACTAACGAGATAAAATCTCTTCTTAACAGTAATAACAAGCTTACTTCAAGTGTTTATGTTTATACATCGAAAAAATGTCACATAGAAATTAGTTTAATTTAAATGAGTATGTCTCGTCAAAACAATCGAACAAAATGTTCTGAATATTATAATTTTTTATTTTATCATCATTAAATATATCGGCGGGCGAATTCTCTATTTTTGAGAAAGAAAAGGAACGGCCAAGTTTGGCATCAAACGTGCGATCGTAGCTCTACCATGGCTTATATTCCGTGTTGGTAGTAACATGTTATTATACTGTGCACATGTTTTTGCAAAAATTTTGACGTTTAGGGAAAAAACTCAAAACGGATTCGTAACCACAAGTATATCGTTGTTATATCATTTTAAAATAGAATTCTTTGAGATGACGTAATCAAATTGTTGATGGGGATGACTAGCAAAATTTTGGTTAGCGTTTAACCATCTATATGATATTCCTAACATACATACAAAATTTGACAACAATTAGTGAAGATTACGTATCTAATAAAAATCGATACAGACGCCAGACAGCCAGACAGACAGATAGACAGACAGTATTACACGTGTTTTTTCATAATTCGACCTTGACCTGAGGAAAAAAGCTATCTGTTCACATTTAATTATTTTCACAAAGTTACTCATACATAAGTACTTATACATATCTAACGTTCTGAAAAAATAGACTACTAACTTAGAAGTTAAAGTAACTTTTTTAGTAGAACAATTCTCCATATCTACCAAGTAAAAATCTCTTACCGAAACTAGTTATTGGAAAGAATATTATTCTCGTTACCAACTGCGTTTAATACTTTTAGTACTACAAAAATCTTCTGTCTTAAATTAATTAAAATAAAATTTCAAAGAACAACTTTAATAGTTTTCATTATTGTCTGGACAGAGCTTCCCAACTCCAATTTCTTAGATGCATAATAAGATTCGATTCTACGATTTTATTTCTCAAGTAGATAAGTTAATAAAGATACAGTTGATTGTTAATGTATGATGTTTAAAGTAAGATATTTCTGAACAAAATTATCTGAAAATGTTAGTTTATTTTAATTCTCGCAGATAAGAATCGATCATGATATGAACAAAGAGTTGATGATTTTACAATATATTATACTTCATAGAAACAATATGCTGAAATATTACAAATCTATAGTTTTGGAACTACAACTGTTTACCCTTGTTGCACACTTGAATGGATTTGACACGTTTTTATCAAAAAAGTGAGAAAACTTAGTGACAAAATCAGTAATTTAGTAGTTGTGTCTAGTTGTTTAGCCCGCATTTGAAAAAAATAAGTTTAGTATGTGCTCATCAACTACTTCACCTTCCCCGAATGGTCGACATGTTTTTATTAACTCTGATTCGGAAACAGAATATATAGTGTATTAGTTATGACAGATTAGTACATCAGTAAACATAGAATTAGACAAGGAATAAAGACATATTTAAGACAATGGTCATAGAAAGTCGTTGCCAGTTTTACTTGGTATTCGGACGACAAATCATGGTGATTCCAGGAATTCCCGTTGTGTTAAATACCTCCTTTAAATTAGAATGCGGCGACTGTCCGGCGTGATTCAAAATTATGGGCTGACGTTTCTTTACTTAATTTATTTACACTTTCTGTAATACTGTTTTAGTTTCAATGTAGAAATAATATTTGCTGTAAACCAAGCGAAACGTGGATACATCAATGGCGTGCAGTATGTTGATCTTAATTTTATAACCTGTTTAATAACAACGAAATTTGTTATCGTTTTCGTACTTGTTATTTTCTTTAGTAACTTGTATCCATCGCTCTTCGTATTGCAGAGAAGAGAAGCATGTAGATACTTAAGCAGTGAAAATTATAAATATTTATACGTTCTTGAAAATTTGGTGTATAATGGAAATTTCTTTCAGGTAAATTATTAAGTCATGTAATTTGTTGCTGAAGTGACACATCGCGTATTCCATGTTCAAATTTATGCTATACATCTTTCAATTTCTTTGACAAGTTTGAAGTTTAATTACGTGGCTTTCCTTGGATGATAAATTTAATTTAATATCAGAAAAATATGGCTTAGTAAGCATCGATTTCAGCGATACATTTTTGCCTGTATATCACTTTCTATTTACAATACGTAAGTTGAGCAAATATTGTACTAGCGTCCGTTTGACGAATGTTTTGATTTCATAATTTCTGAACGTTTCACAGCTTTTGCAGGACAAAAATGTCCGCCTGTCTATCGTCTATTGCCTGTCTATAGACCATTTTATTGGATTACGGCATTGTTTAAGTTTATCGTGTTGAGTAAAACTCAAACCGAGGCTTATCTTTTCATCTCCATCAAACATTTAATAACGCTATTTCAGAATTTTGCGAAATAAATTTCTCTTGAAATCCATGTTGTAACATATGTTACTCTGTCTGTGGCTTAATAATATATGGAGATTTTTGACATTACGCATACGAATTGCGACGAAAAAATTATAATGAACTTTTACAGTTTATTTTAAAACCAGCACAAAAAGTTTGTATTTGTAATGAAAGTAACAGTTAAACGTCTTTTTTTTCCGAAGCAGTCTATTCCATTTTTTTCTAATCTAGATATAATTTTATTATTACAATAATTTATATGTTTATCCTTATCTAAAATTATCAAACAAATATGTTTAAAAAATTTACTTTAACATATATGGATCTATTGTGCTTCAAACGCGAGGAAAATCCTCTCTCATTTTATCTGTAGAAGTGTTTATTTAAACACTTCACAGTTATACGGACAAGGTTGACCTATTCTATCCTATACCGTTACTATGTCTCCCAAAAGTGGTTAAAGTGAAAGACATAAAATAAAATGGTGACTCGAAATTGTGGGAACTGAAAGACGAACTGATAAAGAAGAAGCCGATAGTTTCGATACATATATTAAAAAAATTATGAAGATTTCAAAGATCATCTAAATAAGCAGTTTCAGTTCTAAACGCAAAATCGTAGTGTCCTCAAAAACGAAAAAAACTTGTTAAAGATCCTGGCATGTTCTAAACAGAAACTGTATTATCATCAATTTTTACGTATTACCTAAAGACTTAAAAAGAGGTTGTAAAAATTGGCACAGAATTGTTGAAGTTAAGTTCACACAAAAACTGTCTCCATAATGGGGAAATAATACATCCATGAGTTAACCGTTGTCGAAATTGCTATATAAAAATCTATCATCTGGACATCAGGGGATTTTATACTGAACCTTCCCATGTAGGGACGAACACAATATCAGTTTTCACCATTATTTCTGTTTTTACTGTTCTGCAGTTTTTGCTTCCATTAAACACCATTATGATGATACAAAATTAGCGTAACAGTCTTTTAAAGCTAACCCTGATAACGTAAACACGTAAGTATCAATAACACTTCTTTAGCCTTTGTTAGGTATCACATGTAAACCAGTGATAATTGTAAGGAAAGCTAAAGTAACTGCATGTCTTGTACTTTTATGAAATAAAATCCTTGTTCAGCTAAGTATATTTGAGATGTTCAACACACACTAGGACATCTTGTCTATAAGGTCCTTTTGTAGTCGACGCCATAAAATTTTGTCAATAATTTATGGAGTCATTAATCAACTTTGTGCTATTTCAAACCGAACACACTCGATTTCGTTTTTCTTTTTTTTAAATTACAAGTCATTG